AAAAAAAAATCCTACTGCAGGATATTAGGAAACTGTAGGGAAAAGAATATGTGTGTTATCAGAGCCCTAGAATGAGAGGACAGACAAATAATAATAATAAATAAAAAGAGAAGACAGAACTGAAAAAAATACTCAAATAAGAATGGCAGAAAACATCCCAAATCTGATAAAAAAAAAAACAACTCACTGATAGAAGATGCTGAGTGAACAAGATAGTGTGGGCGCTCTCTGACCCCAAGCAGCCAGAGCCTTTCAGCTCCGATGTTCCTTGAGGAATCCTGCACGTCCTGACTTAGACAACCACCAAAGTTGGGTTAGATGCAAACTAGACTCTGAACCACACTGAGTACTCACTTAACATTGCTTTATCTCTGTTCCAAACCACCAACTTGCAAAAAGCCTTTGGAGAACAGTTTGTCTGTTTCGGACATTTCTTTCTCTCTGCTCTTCCAATCTCCATTCTAGATCTAAGCCTTTGACATCCAAGTAATCATTGCCTCAGTGGTCTCTCCTTTTGTTCCCATTATCCACCTTGTTATGGAATCACGGGGGAAAGAGTAAAGAGGTGAGAATTGCCTTTCTTTTGGGGTTCTTAGTTAATGCTCTATTTAGGCACTTAATTCAGTCTCCTAGTGGTGACCCTAGGCTGGTCCTATCCACATGTTCTAGCCAGTCTTCTCTTACTTGCCCCTTGTGAGCCACCACTGCCCACTCCCATTTGCTCTTGCAATGACTCTCCCAATAGCTACTTTGCCCATGCTTGCCCTGGCCATCCTTTATATAATTTCTATGACCTTGCTTTCTAGATGACGTCATTTCCTTCTAGATGACGTCACTTCATGTATCAAAATGAAAGACAATCCCAGCCGAGAGTGAACAATGTCTATACCATAGTAACCTAGCCCTTTACCGATCAGTGGTCTCCTCCAGAGTTCATAGCCTGGAGGTAGCCAAGATTTATACTAGCCATTTGAAATGGTAGCATAATTATTGTATTGTGTGAAAAGGGGTTTATTTGGGGCGGGGGCAAAACGGAGAAGACCAGGCTAGAGATTATTCTCAGTGGTCAGTCACATCTGGGTCATTTGGGTATTTTCTCTTACAAACCTGCTTCTCTGAGACTTGACTGTCATCCAGACAATGACCTTTGACTCACTAGCTTGAACCCAACTCGACCTTGTGGGTTTACCCATTATGTAATGTCTGTGCTTCAGTAGAAATCTTAAGGAAGCAAATGGAGGAAGTTTGCTAGTCCAAATAGTGGGTAATAAATCTTGCCCTATCTACATAATA